TCCTGGTGATTGGCCCAAAGTCACCCAGCCAGCTTTCACATCTAAAGCAGTACTAGAACTCACCATCTTCTGATTTCTAGCCTGGTGCCTAGACCAAACTGAGAGCTATCTCTTAAAGAATGCAATAGTCTTCCAATATTAGTTAGTTTACGTAATTGAGGTTTATGATGGCTAACCACTGAAATGCTAGCTACACCTGGTAAAATCATTCTTTTTTCTCTGAGCAAATTGGCAGAGTCTGGGAGAAGAACGTAGACATTCCCTTGAATGAAAAGCAGGAGATAATTGTTGAAGCAAACCAATCAATGGGAGGGCACAAATTATAGCTCGCCCTTCTAAATTTGTTTCCCTGCCGTTGAGTGATTCAGTACTAACGTGTTTTCTTGTGGTGGCGGGAGGAGTCTTGGCCATTCCATACCAGGCATCATTGCCCGCTTGGTCCTCTTCCATGGTGCCCTTGAGATGCCCACCTTCCAGAGTTATTCAGAGTTTTGCAGCGTTAATTCAGCGCCAGAAAAGTAAACACGGAGGGCTGATGCTTCGTTTAACATCTTTATAAACATAATAAGTAGATTTTATAAACCAGCTGTAGATTTCTCCAGCAGGGAGCAAACTCAAACAGCAATAAACATGTTGCAAGTGCAGAGCTTCAGTAGCCAAGCCAGGAGCTCAGAAACAGACATCAGTTTCACTTTAGTTCAGCAGGCAAGCAGAGGAAAGAAGCAATTTCACCTTCAATAGACAGACTCAAAAGCTCAACATAGCTGCAGAGCTTAATATAAAGCCACGCCTAGGCTACTTCTAGTTTCAGTTTCCAAACAGGTCTCATTGGCTGACTTAGTTGCTACGCCTATTCATTAGCTGACCTTGTTACCAAGCTCTATTCCAGTTCATGAATATACTCTGACAAGTGTTGCCTTTGTGTGTTTCAGATCATGGTATCGATGGAACCAGCCTACTTACCTCCATTAAAGCATCGCTTGGGCAGAGCATCCATAGCTCTCTGGTTTTTTTCCTTTGTAGACCAAAAAAAAAAAAACCACGAAAAAATTTGGGAGAGACATCAACCTCTATCCATGCACGACTCTTCCGGGAGGTGTTTCTTCAGGCAAACGTTTGGCACATTGGCACAGATGACTTTGGGCAAGGCCAAACCTCCCGCCGAGAGATGCAAACCGAACTCTCAAAGAGACTCAAGCTACACCGGGTCCCTCCCTCAATCCGAAAGGGAGGGGAGGGCGTTGTGTGGTGCGTACGTCCATTCCCCTCTAAGCCCACCAGCTTGCCAGCATCTTCTGCAGAAAAGATGTCCCTTCTAGGTCCAAACAGGCCCTTGAAGATTCCCTAATCTGAGCCAAGGCTGCCCAAATTATTTCATTTAAGGATTGAGCGGTCCCCTGGAACCTTGTTCCTCTCCCTTGTCGGTGCGAGGGACATCTCACGTTATCTACTCAGCATTTTGAAGTGCATATTTTTTTTTTTTAGCATGGGGTGGTGGGGAAAGGGGTTGTTTGTTTGTTCTGCAGGTCTATCGGGGCGAGAATCCGTAGCCAGGAGAGGTTGAGAAGCAACAGGGCGGACAAAGCGATGCGGCATCTCTAGACTTCCAAGGGATGGCCCATGGACCTGGCGCATGTGGGATTTCTGCAGGGCAGAAATGTGGAGATTTTAGCCCCCCCAAAAAGCATTTGCTTTGCTAGTGTTTTGGAAGGGTGGGGTTTGTAGAATAAGATGTACTTGGCAGTGGTGGGATTAATTTTTTTTTTTTACTACCGGTTCTGTGGGCGTGTCTTGGTGGGCGTGGCAGGGGAAGGATACTACAAAATCCCCATTCCCTCCCCACCCCACTAACCTGCTTTTCAGCTCCGTTCTCCTGTGCAGGGCAACCAAAGAAGACCCAGCCGATCACCTGGGACTCAATGGGAGGCAGAGAATAGATGGGGGCAGGGCCCGTCAGAGGTGGGATTTGCCGGTTCTCCAAACTACTCAAAATTTCTACTACCAGTTCTCAGAACCGGCTGAATACCCCCTCTGAAATTATCTTGAAATACCTTTCCTCTCTGTGGCGGCCTCTTCGTGAGGATTAGGAACTCAACTTTATTCTCCAGGTGTGGCTTCATTTAGGGCCACGTCTCTCTGCTCCGGTTCCGTTCCTCCACTTTCCAAGTTTGCAATGCTACATGATAGGGAAGAACAGGAGCAGGCAACCATGGCAACTTTACAATCTGTGGACTTCAAGTCCCAGAATTCCTGAACCAGCCATGCAGGTTCAGAAATTCTGGGAGTTGAAGTCCATGTTTACTCAGAAATTCTGGGAGTTGAGGTCCATTCTGGCTGAAGAATTCTGGGAGTTGAAATCCATGTTTACTCAGAAATTCTGGGAGTTGAGGTCCAT